TATATATATATATATATCATAGTGTAAAATTCAATTAATGATCTGCACTTTTGGTTAAAACAAAAATAATTAAAAAAAAATGAAAATCTTCTCAATCATAAATATTTCTAAAAAAACTAATTACATAATTTTTCTTTTTTATTATATCAGTAAATGCGTAGAAATAATGTCACCTGTATTTATTTAAAAATAATATTATTCCTTAATTTAATATGATATTATTAATATTTGGTACCTATATTTATTTAAAAATAATATTATTCTTTAATTTAATATGATATTATTAATATTTGGTTTTCATGAAGGCGATAAAATAGTATAGTAAATGAAAAATAAAATCTTATTATAGTTATTGTTGATTATTTTGAGGAGTATAGTAAAGAACTTTCAAAATTATTTAAATTTTACACATTTAGTTTTATAAGAAATCCAAGGTATATAAAATGTTTTTCTTCGTAGATGATTCATTGATATGAGAGTTGGTTTCTATAATATTTATTTTTAATATTTTTTCTAAATAAATACTGGCAATTTTGCTGTTTTTAAATTGTTTTGGTTGTGGAATTCTTTCACACAATTATATGTTTTATTGACGTGAAAAAGAAAAAACACAGTTGAAAAAAAAATCTTATCATATATAATCATCTAAAATAAAATATTATATACTAATAATATTGTCGTCTTTATCCAAATTGTTATGTATATCTAAATAAGGTTATATTAGATATCATTATAAATTTTCACATTTTAACCATGGTGACACTTCAAAATCAATCAATAATTTATTTCATGCAAAAAAATATTAAAAATATAGTTAAATAAAAGAATATAAAGTATGAGGATTATACTAAACCAATGCTAAAAATTATATTTCAAGGATGTATAGATATATTATACTTATTGTGAAAAAAGTCTTAATAAATACAAATTGGTAAAATATTAAATTAGTTAAATTGTTCTTTATAAATCAAAATAAAATTTATTAACTTATTGGTGCAATGATTTTTTTTTTCATAAATCATAAAAAACATGAAAACTTTAAAGTACTTATGCTTACAAAACTGCAAATATTAACATTATCTTCTTTAGTACTCTAAACAATTGTTCATTGATAAAAAAAAAAATTACGATAAACTAAGAAAACATTACTCTCCAACCAAAATATTGAAAATCCTTCATACAAGATCACTCTAAAGAATAAATATTCTTGCATAATTTTAGCATAAACAAAATTTTTCATTCCTAAAAAGTTGAAAAACTACACCAACTTTCTACAAAATTATTAACAAAAGAGGCCAACCTAGAATAACCCTTAATTGCACTACTAATATTCACTTTAAGGTAATTAGTACATAATACTTATTCATAAAGTCTATTTGTTGAAAACAATGATATTTGACATTTTGATGAGATTTTTTTTTTCTATTTTATGAATCGGTGAAAGGAGAAGTGAATTTTGGAAACAATTCCAAAATTATCGTGATATGTAAAGGTAATATAAACATCCAATCTAAAAATGGAACCAATGTTACTATTGTAAATGTATATCATGTTATGTGCCTGCATTATTTTGGAATTTATTGAATATGAGACAACTTTAAAAAAAAAATACGAAATTCATATAGACAACAAAGTATGTGAACTTATGAGCGAAGAGAATAAAAACATTGCAAGGATAAAAATTCACAAAGAATCACATGTTTCTTTTGTCGCTTCAAACAAAAACTTTGATGAATTTTGAAGTGATACTAACACGCATGAACAGATTGTACAGAGACGAATGAGCGCGCGAAATGAAGGTTCCCTCGTGTTCAAATGAGAGGAAAAACGATGAACGATGAAGACAGATTTGCAGGATGGAGAGGTTTTTCATCACCCGCAAAAGTAGAGAGATATGGAAGGATTGTAGTAAAAAGTCACGTATGCCCTTAACTTATTATTCAATTCCATCTGTGTATATGAGCTATCGATCCCAAGTTAATATTAAAAAGACAGTGAAGAACAATTTTTAAGATGTAGGGTTGTAGACGAAGATGAAGAAGGAGCTGATGGCATGAAGAAGAAAGTGGTTTAGTGGAATGTGCGTCTTGAAAGTGAAGAAGATGATGAACGGCTTCACCACTGAAATTGAACGTATTCGGTTCCATACCTCCAGTATTCGGTTCCAGGCCTGCGAACGATTCACAAAGGAGCTGTATTGGGTTCCCCATTCTCGCAACAGCGCTGTATTCGGTTCCGTGTTGTGCCCTCACATTTGAGGCTGTATTCGGTTCCGGCGTGTTGTTATTCGGTTTCCTTGGACCATTTGTTGCAAGCTTCGCGTGAAAGTGGAGGCGTTGGTGTTGTATTTAGTAACGATGTCTGTCCACTTGGGGATGGAGCACTGAGCGAGGAAGGCGTTGAGCTTATCGTTGCCGCTAGCTTCCATTTTATTGATCTGGACTTCGGACCAGGAGTCCATGGTGACAGATCGGACGAAGGAGATGTGAACGCCCAAGCCACAGTGCTTGCCGGAGCACTCCAAACACATGAAGACGTCGTACGATGCAGAGGCCCACTGCAGGTTCTTCTGGCTGTAGTCAACGCATATCTTGTTCGCCGCCTGTGATTGAAGGTCCCGAAGCCGTCGCGACGCCGCCGCCATCGAAATTGGATTTGAAGAAGAGAAAACCTAATGCAGAGAGCATTCAGGTTTGTAATACTGTTATATTACATGGTAGTTTGACTAGGAACAAAAGAAGGGGGAGTTTAACAAAAAAAAAAACATCGAACTCACCCTTTTTGTTTTGAAAAAAAAAATATAGCGAAAAATTGATTTATGTTGTAACATAATCCATTGTACTCCGAAATTTCACCGTATTTTGTTATGCATTTATGCTAGCAGCTCCTTTTTTTAATGTTAATAATAATAAATAAATAAAAATTAAAATATAAAAAAATATTTTAAAAATATTACATTTAAAAAAAATCATTTTTCTAATTTATGATTTTTTTACATTTTTTAAATTTACTATAATAATTAATTTTAATTTTTTACTCTTTATAAACATTTCTACAATTAAATATAACATTAACTATTATCATTTTATATTGCTTTAATAATTAGAAACATTTTAATAATCTTTAATTTTTACATATTAAACAAATCTCTTTTATTTATCACATCAATAAAATCTTACACTAATTTTTACAAATTTTATTTCTAAATTCACTCTCAATTACCTCTCAATCCACTCAAACAAACAACAAAAATTCACCCTCAAATCTCCCAAAATTCATTCAATCACTCTCCCCAAATCATCTATCATAAATCCTCACATGTAAAGAAAGCATAAAAAAACACCCCAAATCATCTCTCATAAAAGTAAACAAAGCATAAAAAGACGATGATTTACGATAACATATTTGCTTTCATCATTACTATTCTAAATCATTCAAATAACATAATAATAACTTTTAATTATTTTAAATAAATGATTATAAGAAAATTTCGAACAATTAAAAAAAAACTAAAAATTTTGAAAAATTTTCTTAAATCGTCCTCTGAGTCATATAATCATGAAATAATGAAAGGACAAATAAAAAAACAAAAAAACACATAAAACACATAAAGGATAATTTTTTTAACATTGTTACCTTTATTAAAAGTCACGGGACTCAGTGCTGCATAAATAATATTTAATAAATTTCATTGTTAAATTTATTAGTGATTAGCTTTGAACATAAATTAACTTTCTTTATTTAAATCGTTTTATTATCCAAATCAATTAACTTAAAAAAACAATATAAAAATAATATATAATCTCTAGTTTTCCTATATAATTATAATTATTTAACAACTTTAACTACTGTTTTTTTAATACTCATAAAAGGTCAAAAGCATCTTTTTCCAGTTGACAATATTAAAATGTATTCACATGCAATTAATAGTCTCTCAATGTTTTTCCATTATGGATTAAAGTTTATTAAAAGTATAAAAATATCTCTGAATCTTATGCTAATTTAACAGAGAAATAAGATAAACATTTGCATGCTAATAATCCCACCAACAAAACTATTTATTCAAAGCAAGTTATAAGGTTAACTAATAGTAAAAATAAAATAAATAATAAGTTTAACTTCTCATATTAATATCTCTACTAATAAAATATTAACAACTAACAAAATGAAAATTGATAACAAGAGAGATCAAGAAAAAAAAATACTAACTACTAACATTAAAAAAAAGTAAATTTGAGAACAAGATAGTGACTCGATAATAAACAGAAACCAGAAAAGGAGACACAGACGGAGGGTTTTGTTCTGTTGTTCTTGTGGTTGATCGTGTGCTTGAAAAGATAAGAGAAGAAAAATGGGTTCACCAACATCAAGGATTGTTTTCCGTACTGTGACGGTGGCGCTTTTGCTTCTTCTTGTCTTCTACATTGGTCGCCCTCTGTACTGGAAAATCTCCGCCACCGTCCACGATATCCGCAACAACAAGCAAACCGTCAGACAAGGTTTTTTTCTTCTTTTTCGATTCCGATTTCCAATTTCTGTTCCCATTTTTCAATTACCCTTTTCCTTGCTTCTTCAGGTATTTCCCAAATCGTCATGGAGGCTCAGAAATCGGTGGGGTGGTATCACGACGAGTCCGACTCAGGGGTCCGAGCCAACAGCCGAAAGCTGCTTCTTCACAATCCCCCTTCTTCACTTTTTGTGTAGTCAGATACTTGTACATGTCGCCATACGTGTCACTCCACAATTTCTTTTTCCACAATTCTCTGATTTGCTTATGTGGTTCTTCTTTTATGGGGACAATAATGAGCTAGACTAATTGAATCCAATCGAATCTTATTAAATTAGATAATGACCATCTTATTCTACGTTTTGGAGGTTTTTCTATTTTTCTGTTGTATTTGTTTGATTTAGTTTAAGGGTTGATTCTGTGTGGTTGGAAAATAATTTGGATTTGGTAATGAATCGATCCAAAAGTAATTCTGTTTTATGTTTTCTATGCATATTGAGTGCTCATCAAATTGGCATCAGTTATTCACTAACATTGATTGTTTTGCTTCATGTGTGTTATGCACTTAATATATGTCTAGATTATTTATTGAACCTTGGCTCAAAGTTTGAATATTCAGCGGAACTGAAATTGAACTGTTGTGGTTCATAAGAGTTAGTTTAGTTCTTGAATGACTAACACCAGATTATACTAGGAATAACATGGAAATTATTAAACTGAGGCTTCTTAGGTTGGGAGTGGAAAGGATGATTTGGTTCAACGGATTAGGAGTTAGATAGGAATAGGCAATGTGCCCATATCACAGAAACAGAACAGTTGTTCCCTTCAGCTTATGCCTAAGCATATACATACATATATACATACATATATATACATACATATATACATACATATATATATATACATACATATATATATATA